GAAGCAATTGTTAATGCAGGACCCAAAGCCAAAGAGAAGCAGCATTTTATATCTGCATTCCTATACACACTTTCAGAGAAATAAATGTCATTGTACTCAGTACAGCACACATCTGAGTAGATGTGCATAGGATTGCGCTCTAAAAAAAATGTAGATGCTGGCACAATTTATTTAATGTATTGACATTCTTCATTTACATTATTTCTAGGCAGTGCTTATTGCAGGCTTAGGAAAGAGAGAACCTATTTTTTAAGTGAAATGTGAATAAGATGATCCTAGTTTAATTTGTTTTAATAAGAGGACTGCAAATTCTGGAAATTCTAGTTTGAGAAGAAAGGCATTAATGATATGCAGAGCAATGGTACAGTTTCAAAATAGGGAAAAATGTACTTTGGATTAATTTCTTTTTGAGCAAACATACTGGTAGCAATGGAGTGAGCATCAATACACTGAATGCTGAACAAGTTTAAATTCTAACGTGGAAGTCCATTGTTGTGGGTGTAAATCATCATCCCAATATTATTGAATTTGGCTGAAGTTCAGAGAAGACATAATCTTTCTGCCTTTCCTTTTTACACTACTGTTCAGAATCCTAATGATCACCTTTCCCCAATTGATAGGATTTGTTGAAGCCAAAAACGTTGGGGGAAGGTGAAAGAAAAATAAATTAAGCTTTCAAAGATAGAAGTTAGATTTTGTTTCAGATCAAGATAGCATCAGGAACGTCTTCCCTAACCATTTGCCCATGTAAGCAATTGTGCCTGCTTTAGAAAGCATTACATGAAAATTCTCTGGTCAATAATTATAGCTAGCTAGGAACTGTAAAATGTAAGAACACCAGAAGTAGTGTTACACAGAAAAATTATTACTACTATTAGTACTACTACTACTACTATTATTATCATTAATATTAAGTTTATCTTACCTTCATAGAAAATGTCTGGAATATCTTAGCAGCAAAACATCCTAATGACACCCCTTCCTGTTTTTCTGAGTGAAGTTCTCAATAATCCATGAAACAACATCTCTGGCCATAAAATTACATTTAGTTTTGCACTGATTTGTATCCCCCCCCCCCCCTACTATTTGGAGAACATCAAACTTTCTTAGTATTTCATTAACAAATGGAAAGAAAAAGTATCCAGAGATACCAATACTGGACGTACTGGTTTGCATTGTCAAACTGGATTCTAATGCACTGACCGAAAGTATATAAAGAACATTAATGCCATTATTAATTTAATCCCAGTGGAGAGGAGTTTCTAATTGGCACCATACCATCCAAGTTAACTTTTTAGGAGAGAGGAAATAAAGAACTTTGCTTGCTCTATAAAAGAATTCAGAAAAGTTACACTTTATGTGGTATGATTTCCATAGCATGAAATTACAACTGCTGGATCAAGCTTGAAAGAAATAGGACTGCAGTGTGATTCAATTTGTGTGGTCCTGTGAAAAGTTAAGAATTAGCACTGGGTAATTACAGCTTTAAAGATTCTGGGCTATATCAGTATCCATTCAGTAGCAGAATGAACACTATTACAGTATTTACATATGTATTTATATTAACTTTATCTTCTACATTTCTGCTCAGGGTGGAACTCCAAGTAGTTAATTTTTTTTTAATCCAAAAAATTAAAACATAAGTTATAATTAATTAATAAAACACTGGTGAAAGAGGTGCATCATTTCTGTCTTCTGAGGGAATCCATTTCATAACTTGGGAAAAGTGCTGAAGAAAATTGTTAGGTGAGAAGCCAATTTCTGGCCTTAGAGGCCCCTTCCAGGGAACCTGGCGCACAAATTTTAATGGGAAAGTTGGTCACTCAGATATTGCAATCCTGTGCTATTTAGGACTTCAAAGAGTAACATTAAGACCTTAAATTGTACCTAATAAACATGTGACCACTAGTGCTCCATTAGGTAAAATCTAAAACTCCCAAGATACATAGATTGAGAGGGAGAGTGCATGAAAGAGAGAGACACTGATCTTACACTTCGGAGTTACTGCGTAACCTCTATTTATGATGCTATAAAGAAATTCCTGGATAGAAGTACTGTAGGTTTAGCAAAAGATTCTTTTAAGATGAAGGATGAATTATAATTGGTTACATGTGTAAATTTTGTACTCATGGACTGGTTTCTTCTTTAGCACAGTGCTCTGTTCTTGTCATACAGAACTGAGTGTACAAATGAATGAAACATAGGAAAACATTTTATTTCTGTGTCATTTTTTTCCTAGCTTGCCTCAACGTCATGCTGCTGTGGATACTTTGTCAGGAACACAATTACTCTAGTGGGTCATGAAAACTCCCATGCTGTAAATTTGCCAATCATATTAATAAATGTCTACACTTTCTTCATTACTAGTTTGTGTGTGTGTGTGTGTGTGTGTGTGTGTCTAATAAAACTAAGTCCTCAAGAGCTGTATCTCTGAATCTCTGTCTATGAAACTTCTAGTTCCTGTCTGGCCTCCTCCATGAAAACTCACTGGGTGACTTTCACTCAAGTCTACCTTACAGATGGTTGTGGTGAAAACAACAGAAGAGGAAGCCCTAGGCACAGCATTCTGATCCCTTATTTCTTCCTTTATACAGGAAAGAGAAGAGTAGGATGATCAGCAGGAAGATGAAAGGATTCCGTTTCAATGGCAATGAGTGCACCACTGGAAGACCTAAAGGACTAGGTTGGGGATAGATCATCCTGGAGGACGTCTATCTACGTATGGTTGCTAAGAGCCAATAACAACCTCATGGCACATAGAGAATACACACACACACACACACACACGAGTACACATACTTACACACACAGACTTAGAGAGAGAGAGAGAACACATACATATGTATATATACAGAGAGAGAGAGGGGTGTTGGAGACAGTTTGCACTGGTGCACAAAAGTCTATTATTAAATTTTCTGGAATTTAGTGAGAGCAGAGATGAGCCACTACAACTAGCATGCCAATCACTCACTGTATTAATTTAATAAAGAAATATAGCATCGATGCTAAGAAAAAAAGTATTCTAGCATACAAAATTATACTTGCTACAGAAAAAAAAATCCTCACATCTATACAAAATTAAATCTCATTGGGTTCAATGGAGTTAATTCTCCTTATATGGGTAAAACTTCTGATTTTGTTCTATCAAAGATAGTGTATATCGCACCATTTATTTTTCTAACCTGATAACAGCCCTGTTATAATGGCACTGTGGAAATGATGTGAATTGTAATTTGCATTATTTGTGTCATAATGATGAACAATGCATAATTTACATAATTTATACAACGATGTTATGATGCACATAATGTCACTTGCCCTGCCTTGTCTCCCTGCTAGCACCTATGCAAAAGCATGTTCAAGATGATTTTGTATCCCTTTTACCTTGTGTTTCATTTACCAGGTGATTTTAAATGGAGGTCTGTTGCAACTTTCTATGTGCAACTTTTTATTTGCTGTGCAGATGTATTCCCTGCCTTTGAATTCAGTGAGCTATTCAAGGTGGTTTATAGAACATAATGATGCAACCTACTTTACCCTCTTGTCTGCATTCATCTGAATAATCCTTAGCTGGCTACCGTATCTAAGGAGTAAAAATGCAGACAACCATTGTTGTTGATGGTGGTTTTTCGTTCAGTTTGGTTTGGTATCTCTTTCTGCCAATGGCCAGATTTTTTCAGCCAGAAAATATGCATGCATACACACACACACACACACAATCATTATTATTATGTCTGCTTCTAATTATTGTCATATCCAAGAGTTTGTCTTTTAAAGACCATCAATGTCCGTCCTTCCTTCCTTCCTTCCTTCCTTCCTTCCTTCCTTCCTTCCTTCCTTCCTTCCTTCCTTCCTTCCTTCCTTCCTTCCTTCTCTCTCTCTCTCTCTCTGTCTCTCTCTC